GTTGTTTGTCACTACCCAGTGAAACAGAATCCGAATGTGTTCATACTGGAGGAATCCGATGAGCTATAAAGCTCTTTTTCCTAGATGTCCAGTGGGGCACGGGGTAAGAACGTTACAACAAACAACAACACGACAGTGTTGCAAAGTACAAGCGCGGTAAACAAATCCGCCAAACACAAACAAATACAACTAAACCATTCCCATCCAACCAGGCAAAGCCCACTGAGATATTAACTTATTTCTTAGAAGTGACCTGGCCACAAATGATAGTTCAACAAAGTGCCACCATCGTTTTGACATTTAGAGCACCACAAGATAATCTAAATAATCTCAATGCATGTTTCTAAACGTGGAGGAGAAAACCCGGAGGTCCACGCGGTCAGGTGGAGAGCATGCAAACTCCAAATATGAAGCAAACTTCAGGGTCGGGATCGAACTCCCGACCTCCTGTTGCACGCTTTACTGGGTGAGCACAGTCATTGCGACACGGATTGTTCATTGATAAATATTGTTAACTGTTGGCTTTGCGGAGTGAAACGGAAGTCACCGGTGTATTGCTCGTTATGTCGTCTTTATCACCGCCTCCATCCTCACGGCGTACTTGGGCGGTTCCATAAAAGCGAAAAGCCCTTTGCATGGAAATCGTGTGCCCTCTGCTGGACAAGAGCGTTCACGATAAGTGCCCGCTTCAACTCGATCACGGGGGGGGGTGGGGGCGACTGCTATCGCTGCGATGTTGTGATGCACGCATGTTGAACTTCTTTCCCACCGTACGTTGCCAACCGTGGCAATCGGAGACGGAACGGCAAACACGGCCGTCCCTCGATTTACGGAACCGTCTCGTTCCTGAAAAGGTGTCTGAAAAGTGCAGCTCCGTATTTATCCAATCCTACTCTGCCGTTGGCTTCCACGATATAGAGTTTGGAAGATGCGAGCCTATGGGAAAAAATGTCGGCCCCCAATACGTAATCACACGGAAGAATGCAGAAAACCCTTTTGTTAAGCACGTATTTAATGGCAAATCTAAAATTTTATGATAACACTAGCTTTACTACCCGGCTTCGCTCGAGACTTGGATTCTTGTCTTGGATTAAATCACGGCCTACGCGGAGGGTTGGGGGGGGGGGGGTGCGTGACGTCAGCAGGCACACTGCGTGACGCTGCCGCATGCGGGTGACATCACAGATGTGTGACGCTGCCGCATGCAGGTGACATCACAGATGTGACGTCACCACTCACTTGAAGTGCAAAATATGCCCATTATTGCGCCCCCCCCCGCCCCCCCTCCAAATACAGTCTATTTTTATACATGTTGCATGTCGGGAAGTATGTAAAACATTTCGAACAGACACACATTCACAAATTTCCCTTTTATGTATACAGTTAGGGGAAAAAGTATTTGATCCCCTGCTGATTTTGTACGTTTGCCCACTGACAAAGAAATGATCAGTCTATAATTTTAATGGTAGGTTTATTTGAACAGTGAGAGACAGAAAAACAACAACAAAATCCAGAAAAACGCATGTCAAAAATGTTATGAATTGATTTGCATTTTAATGAGGGAAACAAGTATTTGACCCCTCTGCAAAACATGACTTAGTACTTGGTGGCAAAACCCTTGTTGGCAATCACAGAGGTCAGACGTTTCTTGTAGTTGGCCACCAGGTTTGCACACATCTCAGGAGGGATTTTGTCCCACTCCTCTTTGCAGACCTTCTCCAAGTCATTAAGGTTTCGAGGCTGATGTTTGGCAACTCGAACCTTCAGCTCCCTTCAAAGATTTTCTATGGGATTAAGGTCTGGAGACTGGCTAGGCCACTCCAGGACCTTAATGTGCTTCTTCTTGAGCCACTCCTTTGTTACCTCGGCCGTGTGTTTTGGGTCATTGTCATGCTGGGATACCCATTCACGACCCATTTTCAATGCCCTGGCTGAGGGAAGGAGGTTCTCACCCAAGATTTGACGGTGCATGGCCCCGTCCATCGTCCCTTTGATGCGGTGAAGTTGTCCTGTCCCCTTAGCAGAAAAACACCCCCAAAGCATGTTTCCACCTCCATGTTTGACGGTGGGGATGGTGTTCTTGAGGTCATAGGCAGCATTCCTCCTCCCCCAAACACGGCGAGTTGAGTTGATGCCAAAGGGCTCCATTTTGGTTTCATCTGACCACAACACTTTCACCCAGTTGTCCTCTGAATTATTCAGATGTTCATTGGCAAACTTCAGACGGGCATGTATATGTGCTTTCTTGAGCAGGGGGACCTTGCAGGCGCTGGAGGATTTCAGTCCTTCACGGCGTAGTGTGTTACCAATTGTTTTCTTGGTGACTATGGTCCCAGCTGCCATGAGATCATTGACAAGATCCTCCCGTGTAGTTCTGGGCTGATTCCTCACCGTTCTCATGATCATTGCAACTCCACGAGGTGAGATCTTGCATGGAGCCCCAAGCCAAGGGAGATTGACAGTTCTTTTGTGTTTCTTCCATTTGCGAATAATCACACCAACTGTTGTTACCTTCTCACCAAGCTGCTTGGCAATGGTCTTGTAACCCATTCCAGCCTTGTGTAGGTCTACACTCTTGTCCCTGACATCCTTGGAGAGCTCTTTGGTCTTAGCCATGGTGGAGAGTTTGGAATCTGATTGATTGATTGATTGCTTCTGTGGACAGGTGTATTTTATTCAGGTAACAAGCTGAGATTAGGAGCACTCCCTTTAATAGTGTGCTCCTAATCTCAGCTCGTTACCTGTATAAAAGACACCTGGTAGCCAGAAATATTTCTGATTGAGAGGGGGTCAAATACTTATTTCCCTCATTAAAATGCAAATCAATTTATAACATTTTTGACATGCGTTTTTCTGGATTTGTTGTTGTTATTCTGTCTCTCACTGTTCAAATTAACCTACCATTAAAAATATAGACTGATCATTTCTTTGTCAGTGGGCAAACGTACAAAATCAGCAGGGGATCAAATACTTTTTTCCCTCACTATATAGATAAGATATTCGCAATAATAACACTGAAAATAAGTTGTGAAATATAAACAACATACCGTACAGTACTTACCAGAAACTAAGGCATTATCCACAATAGACGTTTCTTTGGGTTAGATCGCGTAAATAGAAATGTGTCGTTCAACCCACCACCACCCAGCACAGCCAATTAATAATGTTTGTCATGTAAATAAAACATGCCAATGAGTTACTAGTTCAGCACACCGGTGTATTGGATAATAAACCCACATTTTCAATTGTAAATGTTGTGGGTTTTAAATGGAGGTTGTGGGCTTACAATTGTAAATGTTGCGAGTTTACTCTCCAGGTGTGCTGTACTAGTAACGAATGGGCACGCTATTGTGCACGTGACAAACCTAACTCACGTGTCGGGTGGTGGCGGGTTTGATGACACATTCATATTAACGCGATGTAACCCCCCAAAAAAAAAGCTCCATTATGAAAAAAGTGTTCTTATTTCATTGAGGAAAAGAAGCATCACCCTTCCTGCGTTGGTTTTCGTGCTGTCGCCGCCGCCGCTGCTGCTGCTGCTGCTGCACGACTCTCCGATGCTGTCTGGCCCGTGCCCACCACGCGCTGCACCGCGCACGTAGTCGGCACGGTGTCTCGCAAATTACGCGTTTGGAATCATGTACCTACAGAAATCATCCCCCCCCACCCCCGCCGCTGCCTCACCCAACCTTCTGCCAAAACTTCACAGGGCCCGCCCGAAATCGAGACGTGAGACTCGGTGAGGCCTTGCAGCGTAAACAACGAACCAGAGATCCCTTTTTCTGTTGCCGCACAAGTGGTTAGCGAACATGCACGCAAGTTGGTGTCATCTCCATATATAAAAGGACAAAGTTGTGAATGTGTTGTCTGTTCAAAATGTTTAGCGTACTTCCCGACATGCAACAAACTTTAAATTTGCCATGTGGGTACTTTCCAGACTGTACACCATGGAAAAATTATAAAAATACACTTTTTTTGGGGGGGGGGGGGGGGGGGGGGGGGGAGCTCAATAATGAATATATTTTTTTGCACGGCAAGTGAGCTGTGACGTCACATCTGTTACGTGACCCGCGCACGTGGAAGCGTAACGCTTTGTAGTGTAGTGGTTAGCGCGCCGCGCTACGAACCCGGCCACCCGAGTTCGATTCCCGCTCACGGCCACCACCGGTGATGATTATTATCAACCGCTCCTGGGCCTCCCCTAGGTCGACTCAGCCTCAAACAATTAACTGGTGTGGTGTGTGAACATCGCCACTGGGGAGACAAAGGCGGCCGGGCGTGATGAATCCAAGTCCCGGGCGAAGCTGGGTAGTCAAGCCTAGTGTATATATATCCGCGTTGTTGGCCGCCAGTGTTACTTGAGCGGCACGCAACTTGACTGTTACATTGACTGTTATGTTGACTGTTACATTGACTGTTATGTTGACTGTTACATTGACTGTTATGTTGACTGTTACATTGACTGTTATGTTGACTGTTACATTGACTGTTACGTTGACTGTTACATTGACTGTTATGTTGACTTATGTTGACTGTTATGTTGACTGTTATGTTGACTGTTACGTTGACTGTTATGTTGACTGTTATGTTGACTGTTATGTTGACTTTTATGTTGACTGTTATGTTGACTGTTACGTTGACTGTTATGTTGACTGTTACGTTGACTGTTACGTTGACTGTTGCGTTGACTGTTACGTTGACTGTTACGTTCCCTCGAATGCGCTTGCTGCTCGGTGTTCTCCAACGTTCTGATTTTATGCAGCAGCTCTAACCGCGGTTTCCTTTTCACGTCACAAAGGTCCTCCGCAGGGCCGTTCTTGTCAATCAGCTGACGGCGCATCAACACAATTCAATCAACAATAATACTACTTGTTAATAGAGAGACGGTGAAAACTGTGCAGGAGGGTGGGGGGAGGCTTTCATCCAGCAGTGCATAGACCATGGCTGACGATGATGATGATGATGATTATGAACCCCTCCCGCTGGTGTGCCTTTGGCAGGTGTTACAACTGCGGGGGGCTGGATCACCACGCCAAGGAGTGCACCCTGCCACCGCAGCCCAAGAAGTGCCACTTCTGTCAGAGCACCAGCCACATGATGGCCAACTGCCCGCTCAGAGGTGCGGGAGGACCCCCAGCCGGGCCCTCTTCTGGACCGGGCCACTTTGGCCCTCACCCCGAGTCATCCTCGTCCCACTCTCCCTGACACCCCCCCCCCTAACCCCCCCCCCCCCTAACCCCCCCCCCCCTCCTCCCCCACTGGCAGAAGTGGGGTAAATCCTCAATGTTGCCAAAAGGATGGTGGTTCGTTTGTTTTTTTAGAAACATTTTCTAGGTGTGTCTGTGTGTGCGTGTCTGTGTGTGCGTGTTTTCAGTCAACATTTTTTTTTTAAGTTTTAATTTTTTTTATATTTCGAAAATCGTTTTTTTTTTTGCATTTTTGTTAAGTATTTATGTTTTTCAAGAGTTCGCTTATTTGCAGGTTACTTTATTATTTTTTTAATGCTACTATCCTCGTAGCTATTTGAAGGACATGGAATGTATGGATTAGTCTTGACGTATCAGTAAATACCAGGGTCTGTGCTTATTTAACAATTCTTAATTGGCGCTTCCTTAATTAACGAGCAAAATATTGTTAAATACCTGTCATTTTATTCATAATTAACCTCGATGTAATACGTTTACTAATTTTAAATTTAACACTTTGTCTTCAGAGTTCAATCGCCTAAATTAACCCTGACCTAACAGTCCCTGGTAACAATCAATCAGAAACCCTAATCAATGACGAGTATTAAAAATATAAATAAGATTACGATTTCAATCATTTTATTAGAGATAGTACATTTGGATTAACAAGGAAAATATTCTTACCAGATGTGTTTTAATGGAGGGTAAAGGACGTGTTACAAAACTTTTTAAACAGGCTTACATTTTTAAACATTTATTAATATAATCTCGAAGTTTATTTCTTCATCTCCAAATATTGATCATTGCCTCCAATCAAATTGACTTTTGCAAAGTGGGGCAAATAATATTACAAGACAGGGCATTATATTGAATACCTTCATAGTATTTTGTAAGACCCCCCCCCCCAAGTCCTTTTCTCTGGAGGGAAGTTAAAAACACAGAATATCATTCGACTTTTAGTTCTTTTTATTTTCGTGTTAAATCGTTTTTTTGTTTTGTTTCTGGAGGTGATCTTCGTGAAACAGCCACTTATTATTTGCTAAGACAAAAAAAAGTCCTCTGTGGTAGCATGTTTAACGGGTACCTCTTGGCGGTGTCGCAGCTCGATGGAGGGTCCCGCAGTGGTCACCCTCCTCCTCACACAGTTTTGCCAATCCTCTGTTTGACCACTGCCCACTTGTAGTCCGGCCGGTGGCATAACCACAACCTACAGTTTACCTCATTTGAATGGTGTTATCTTGAAAACGTGGCTGCTGCCATGCACAATAATGATGTACAATAATGTACAGATTTTGTAAGAAAATTGTTATTCTTATTGTCAGTTTACGAAACAAATGTCAATTACGGTACTACACTGCGGCTCTTTACTTACAGGTGACGAATATTATATTTCAGATAGAAATGTGTACGACGTAGAATACTAACCAAAGTTACTATTATTTGAACATATTGATCATCTTTAGGCGATTGTTACTTTTGATGTAGCCATTCAACTTGTTTACATTTTTAATAGCTACAGTGTTAGCGTTATGTTTGATGTCTGCCATAGCCGTCTGGAATTTCTGGTGACGGTGGAGATGTCATTTAGAATTTACCATCGACTGCTTGTGGTGAAACGTTGCACAAATCTGCAGCATTACATTCAAACCAAAACTTGCTTGCAATTGGCTAAACGGGCGTGGGGGTCTAAATGGTGTGACTGACAACCAAACAACGTATTGGGCTCTAGGAGGGAAAAAAAGTTAATTTGCTTTGATTGCTCTTCCAGTATGATCTGCGTAACCCCCGTAAATAACTTTTTGTTTAGGCCTTTGGGGCGTACAACATTGGTTTTAGCCGACTGCAAATTTTGTGTGATCGGGTGTGGGTTTCATAAGCCAATTGCAAGTTCTTGAACATTTCAAACGAGTCCCTTATTCACAGACCTGAGACGAGAGGGGGGTACATTTATTTCAATGAGAAGTTGAAGCCTAACAGCATGAAGGTATCATTTCTGCTTGAGTACTGTGTGGTTTTTGGGGATGGGCTGAAGTGCTCACTTCTGTCAACTTGTCGTCCGCGTGAGTACCGTACATTTTTCCTGGATTTGGTTTCTCTTAATCGAGCGTCACTCTTGGCTCAAGAATAAAGCTGCTTTAGGCCCAGGGCCAAGGGGCAGGAGAGTTTTTCAATGCTCACCAGTGGAGCCCCTCGGTAGGTTACCTTTTCAGGAAAGTGCCTAGGCTTTGTAGGCCTCATGCAACTAAAATACCCAAGATTCTACTGAATGTTGTTTTTGTTTGTTTTCGTGGCTTTGTACAATCCTACCTCAGTGTCAACTTTTACCAAAAAAATGTATCAAATCTGGAATTTTAAAACTTGAATGTTAAGTTTTGAAATCGTTATCGCTGTGTTGTGTGTTGCTGCCTTTAACAGAGGTGGAGCACATTATTTTAATATTTTTTTTACTGTTTTCACGTGTTTTTTTTAAACATACGATTGTATTCCTCATTTGTGTCGGTCCGATATGTCAGAAGGCAGACATGTTACGGTACAATGGTTCTGGTAGCATGGCTGCGTTCACTCGTCATTTACATTCACGTACCATAGCAATCTTTAAACGAGCGAATGTTAACATTCGGCAAGAACAATAGTCGGCGCGTTTACGGATTCCATTGCTCTTCTAAAGTCAATCTTATTTCTTGTACAGTATACGGCAGCGCGTTTACCTTAGATGTATTAAGTATCTCCAAAAAGTACCAATAGAATGTAGAGTGAATAACAAAACAACACAATACTGAAGAAGGGTGACATTTGCAGCGGGGTTTTATTTTCGTGTAGACGGTGGCCCATGCCATTCCCTATTTCGCTTCGACCAAACTGCATAGCATAACCCAGTGAACATGAAACGTTGGGCTGACACCTGGAACAACGTTGCACGTTTACTGGGGTAGTGCTATTGGTTGAAAGTCACCAATATAAAACACTACACAAGTTAAGTGAGTTTGACTGCAGTAAAAAAAAGCTTAACTTTGATGTACATTCCTTTTTTTTTACTTTTATATTTTTGTACTGTTTTTATCACAACACTCGTCGTAATCCTGACGGAAACCATGAAATCTTATTCCTCCCAATTGGACCATTCTCCTTGCCGAGTGGTGTTTCAGCCACTGTCGGGTGATGATTGGGGCTTCTCAGTGGTAAAGTTCAGTTTGACCCAGTCTCCATAATAGAGGTTTTTGGAGAAGATTGTGTAAATATAAATGTGTCGTTAAACCCGCCCACCACCCGCCACAACCCGCCACAATCAATTAGTAAGGTTTGTCGCGAAAAAAAAACGTGTCAATTCGTGACTAGTTCAGCACATCGGTGTGTTGGAGTAAACCCACAACATTAAACTGACTAACCTGTATGGGGAGGATACACTGTTCCTCAAACCATACAAAGATTGGTAGGTTGAACGACACATTTATACTTTTGCGATCTCACCCAACAACCTCTTATGGATAATATTGGTCGCGAAAGCCTACGTGTTAATTTGACCAAGTCTATTCACGGTTGAGACCCATTCAATGAACATTGACTAGCATCTGAAACAAGTGTATATATCATACAATTATGGTAGACATAGAAAGTTTGTTATGCTTCATTTTTTGCAGATTTGGTTGTTAATTTGTTTTGCTAACGACCGCAAGGTTGTTAGAGTTAACTACTGAAATGTACTAAACACTGAGTTATGATATCACAATTAAGCAGCCTGGGTGCCATTGTTTGGACTCTAGGAAGAATTCATGGTGTGAGCAAAGCATTGTCAGGCACTCACTTTTAATACGCCATTTTTATTACGAGCCGTTCTCTTCAAAAGGCCATTTTTATATAATTATCGTGGTTTTACCCATTTCAACGTTAGATTATATTTTTTAGATAAGGTTCACGTTTTGTATATTGTTTTATTACACATTCAGTTTTTTTCCAAAGGTTGGATGGCAAATTTGTGAATGTATGTTGCTAAAAGAGGCTTTTGTCAAGATATATGAATGTAAAAAGAAAAGAGGAAAAAATCGTCTTGTTCCTGTTTAAACAGGCGGCAACAATACAACATCTGTGTGCGCGTGTGGCAGTGTTTAATCGAGCGGTAGTGTAGCGGTTAGCTGCGCTACGAACCTGGTGACCTGGGCTCGATTCCCGCTCACGGCCAACATCAGCGACGATTATCTGAACCGGTCCTGGGCCTCCCCGAAGTCGACAGCCTCAAACGAGTTCCTGGTGCGGTGCGTAAAAACATCGTTACCAGGGAGACAAAGGCGGCTGGACGTGGGGTGCTGGCCACCCACCCCTTCGTGTTTACCTTCTGGCCTTCATAGGTGCTTGCTACCAGCAGTTGTCCCAACAGTCTGTAAGGCTATACGGGGGATCGTTGTTAATCGAGCTGCCAAAGCAAGGCACAGGGCTTTCGCCTCTGATGTCATGATCAGTCTACAAGCCCAGACCAGATGCCTCACTTGTCGGTACCACTTTAGCGGTGTCCAATTCCTTAGCCTGGCCAATAAACGGTGAATTACGTGATGACCACTTCGGGTTATGAAATAAGTTGCTCGTATTAGCCGTCTTAAGTAAATCGGTACTGCTAAAGTCTTGCAACCTTAACTGGTATTGAATTCTGCTCTGGTGCACGAACTCAATGTAAGTGTATGGTTTGGTTTTGAAAGCTGCAAACTTATTAGCAGAGCAACAGTTTCTGCCAGTTACAAGAATCATCCCTGGTCGGGCTCTTCTTTGCAAGTTCGAATCGCTTAGTTGATGGCATTGTAGCCTCCTTCATCTCAGAGAGAGAGAGATATATATATGAGGTCTCAAAGCGGAGATAGTCCTTTCGAAGGGAGTCCAGGAGACTTGGCTGGCCATTAGCTGGTTATTATTCGGTTGTTTAAAACGTTGCTGCCGAGACGATAACACAGCAATGCGCTCTTGCGCTTTCCATTCCAAACGCAGGGGAACTGGACACTTGTCCACACGTGGCAGTAAGTGTTGCGTTACGCAAGGCGAGATAGTAGCTT